CCGCTCCGCACCCCCTAACCGGACGACTCGCACGCGGCCTCTCCCCTTCAAGTCTCCACCGCCGAGTCCCATTCCTTTTCCGCGGCCATATTTCACGTTAGTTATTGCCCCGCTCTCTGTCTCTGTCTGTCCCGCTGTCTCTCTCTCTGTCTGTCTCTGTCTCCGTTGGTCGATGTCACGGCAGAGATGATCGTTTTAGATGATGCCCGATAGCGAGGCCCGCCCCCACCGCGGACAGAAAGTCACCGTCCTAGACTCGAACAACCGCTCGTTTATCTAAATGTTATGTTTTGTTTTGGTTGAGGCCCCGCTTAGTCAAGTTGTGCTCCCCTTGTTCGGGAAAACAACAACCATTTCTTTGTTTTAAAATCTTCTTTTTCTTCTTTTTTAGTATTATTTTAAATGTATATGGCACGTTACGATATAGCCGGCGATGTTGCCATCATCATCGAGATTGCACTGGAAACGGAAGTGTGTGAATGCCGCACACTTTTAGGTGTGTGAATGCCAATTCTTACTCTTACGGGAGTAAAGGGTGTGAATTGTCCTTTGAAATTCAGACACTAGTGCTTCTATGTACAAATTTACACACTTTCAAGTGTGTGGCATACATTAACACACTTGAGTTTTCGGTGTGCTTGATGGTTGTAGCGCAGTGCAATATACACCAAGAAAGTGTTCTCAATTCGAGAAACTCAAAATTTTGATACGAATTTTTTGTTTTAAGGATCAAATATAGGACTTAAAAAAAAGAGGTCTCAGAATTTTCATTATACGATTCTTGAATCGAGAACACATTTTTTTTAGGGTGCACCAGTACTTCGCCACCGCCGCCGCTAGTGGCCGCCCGCGGAGGTAGGCATCCCAACCGCCACGCGCCGCCGCGCCGCGCCGCGTCCGCGACTCCAGCTCCAGTGGCTGGCTCCAGCGAGCGTCCCGTTAGGCCTGGCGCTAGGCCCTGCTGGACCACGAGCGGGATGCTGGACGGAGGAGGAGAGGGGGTCTTCATCTCGCAGCTGCCACTGTGGCATTCGATTCGAACCGCGCGTGCGACGGACAATTTCACGCACGGTAAAACAGGCCGTAAGATTTTATTCGCGATTCTTCCTTTTGGTCGAATAGGTACACCCTGTTTTTCTTTTGCCACTTATATCACTCCTTGCGACCGATATACACTCTACATTCGTGTCGTATATTTTTTCCCCCTTTGTCTGGAGATCGCTCGCTGTTTTTTCTTTCTTCTTCACCCAGAAGCGCATTATAAACATCAAGCAAGGGAACAGATGTACATTCGTCTTTTGTTTTTTCACCACTGTAAATTATTACCTTTTCTTCCCTACATCCCATTGGCTCGACGGGATTTCGACGAAACTCTCTGGAATCGACTCATCGCTGAGTTCAGAGAAGAGCTAACACTATCTCATCAAGCGGTGCTCCCCAATGTCGCGATGGTTGCGAAAAATTCAAACAGCGTTAAGAGGGCACACACCACTAAGCTATTGGGAGAATATGTGTCGTTCACTGCGACCCGGTACTCGCTGGCGACGACGTGGCGTCGAGGTGTAGCGCGGCGTGCGTGGGAAAGGCGACCATCTGTTTATGTGCGCCTCTGGCGAGCCTCTGGCGTCAATGGAGGGGTAACGGGTGGCAGTGCAGGAGTGGCAGTCCGAACACATCGAACGACCTGCCGGTGCGCCAGTGGTGGTGGTGGTGCTGCTGCTGTGCTGCTGCTGCTACTGCTGCTGGCGCTGCTGCCACCCAGCAGTTCGCGCGCGAGATTCGATCCGCTCGCTTCCGAGGAGGCTCCGTGTGGGCCACCCTGTGTTGTCTAGCCGCTGTATTTTGACCCCGCTATGTCCTGCTGCCGCTCGTCTTTCTTCGCCTACTTTTTCTATAGCTCGAAAGCAAAACATTAAAGTCCACGTAGTTCAATTACTGTTTCTGGAGACGTATGGAAATCTGCCTCCGTATTTATCGGCCGAGGAAAACAAAACAAAAATGCATATTGTCGGCGTCGGGCTGAGCCGACCCCTTTCGCCCCGAGCTGATGGACGGCTCGGGCTCGGGGTCTCGCTGTCACATTAACACCTGCCCGATCCAAAATAAAAGGCCCCTC